CGCTGCTCCCGCAGCCATGAAAGCTGATTTATTACTGTGGTGGGAGAATCCGATTGATCGCAGGGCATGGAAGACCGGGTGCGGTCGCGATGTCCTGAATTCAGACTCGTTGCGTTCGTTGAAAGGTAGTGATAAAGGAATTATTTGATTCAGCGTTATGTACCTCATGGTGCGACGCATATGCAATTTAATATATTATTGTTCTTGTTATTTTGTTTGTCATTGTCGCCAAAGGCTCGCAAAACTTCGGCACCATGGGAACTCAGATATGTTATATTTTGCCCTTGAAGATACTGCTTTAAATTGATATTAGGACAGGCAACAGGTAGCTTTGCCTTGCAGAAGTTGAGTCTTAGCGGGTCAAATTTTTTGGTTGAAGCTGTTGAACCACCTTGTGGATGTCGGTCGTTCATCGCACAGGCGTCTTAAACAGCGCTGGCGTAGTCGTGAACAGTGGAACATGTGCACATTCACTACAACTTCATTCGATTAGTCGGCACTGAACGTTCAAATAGGCACGTTGCTCATCCAGCGATCGCAGTAATACAGGGAGGTGGTGAACTTGTTTCTGATGAAGAAGTTCGAAGTGCGTCTTTTGACGAAATTGTCTCTCTTTAAATCTGTTTGCTTACCTACCCTGCCCTGTTTGCCTTACCTGTTTGGATACTGGCTATAGGGCATGAATACGATTCATTATACATGCTACAGGAGAGAGGCTTCACTGAAACATTGTTGACGTGAGTGACGAGGTCGGGCAGACTTCAAAACCAGTACCACAGTACCGTCGATTTTGAGAGCCGCTTCTACTTTCGGCCGAGTGATCACAGTTGCATTGGCTATACGTATTATAAAAATGCCATAGGATTGATTCGAGAAGCGAATCTCTCTGTAGAGCTAAGGGAAGACGGCCTAGTACAGGCGTGTACCAGATGGCTAAATTATGTATAAAAGACCTGGCGTTGTAATAACCGTTGTATAGGTATGGCAATAAGTGTAATTCGATCCAGTTAGTTGCTAAGAGTTGTGGCACCGCCTCATAGTCCTCAGATGTAATGGACTGTTTTGAAGACCATGGCTTGTGCCTGTTCAAGACATATTTCGCGTCATCTTACCGACTAGAGCAATGTGTGGTTGTTAACAGCCTGTACCCTTTGTCTAGTTGTGCTTTGTAGCTAACAAAGTACTGCCCTTTGTCGTTAATCAGTTGCGTTGCCTTTATCCTCTTTCATGATAGAAATGCTTT